AACAGGCACAGCCTCCACTGGCAGCCCCTGCCCAGGCTCTTCCCCTCACCCCATTAAGTACATGATGTACAAATAGGGCCCGATCTGGCAAACCTCTGACAAAACTCACATTTTGGTGTGGCTCCCCACAACTGAAGGACCACCTTTGTATGTCTTACAGCTCCCAGCACACAAATAACCACCTGCAGTGAGCCAAGCCTGGACTGGAGCAAGCACAGAGCCCAGGGGAGCAGCTGCAGGGAATGGGGGATGAAGCAAACCCTTGGGATGTGCCACACTTCCTGCACACCCTTATCCCACAGCAGCCTGGGCTGGCTGGCACCCTCCCCTGTGCCCCTCCTGAAATCGGAGCCACGCTCAAGCTGGGGATGCTCTAGTAGAGGCCACCAGTGGCTCCATGGGCACTGCCTGGGACCCGACACTGCCAGCGTGGCCCCGCAGGATCTGTGGTGTGGGTGCTGTGCCACGGGGACTGTGTGTGCCATGGGGCTGTGCCACGGGGCTGTGCCACGGGGCTGTGCCATGGGGACTGTGCCATGGGGACTGTGTGTGCCATGGGGCTGTGCCATGGGGACTGTGTGTGCCATGGGGCTGTGTGTGCCATGGGGCTGTGCCACGGGGACTGTGCCATGGGGACTGTGTGTGCCATGGGGTTGTGGCATGGGACTGTGCCATGGGGCTGTGCCACGGGGCTGTGCCACGGGGCTGTGCCACGGGGCTGTGCCATGGGGACTGTGCCATGGGGACTGTGTGTGCCATGGGGTTGTGGCATGGGGCTGTGCCATGGGGACTGTGCCATGGGGCTGTGCCACGGGGACTGTGTGTGCCATGGGGTTGTGGCATGGGGCTGTATGTGCCATGGGGCTGTGCCATGGAGACTGTGCCATGGGGACTGTGCCATGGGGACTGTGCCACGGGGCTGTGCCACGGGGCTGTGCCACGGAGCTGTGCCACGGACACCACATCCAGCAGCAACATCCAGGACCTCGTACCGAGTCCTGCCATGCCATGGTGGGAAGGTGGAAATCCTTGAACAGGCACAGCAACCAAAGGATTATTGATCCACAGAGCTGGAAGGGACCCACCAGGATCACCCAGCCCAGCCCCTGTCCCTGCCCAGACCCCCAAAATCCCACCCTGGGCATCCCTGGCAGCACTGGCCAAAGGCTCCTGGAGCTCTGGCAGCCTCGGGGCCGTGCCATTCCCTGGGCAGCCTGGGCAGTGCCAGCACCTCTGGGGAAGAACCTTTCCTGCTCTCCAGCCTGAGCTGCCCTGGCACAGTGGGCACAAATCCTGACTCTGTATCAGCATGACCCTTAGAGCAGGTTTCAACCCTCTCCCCTGCAAAATAAAATTAAAATTAAATTAATCTAATTTTTAGAATACTAATTCCACTCTAATTTCACTCCTGCACTTGCATAATTCCAAACTTGACTGTGCATCACCGGGGCCACGTGACTGCACCCATGAACTGAACTATTCCCGGCGTTGCATTATGGCAGTGAAATATATTTAAATTATCCTGGAGTCATGCAATAACCTCCCAAGGTTTTATATGGCATTTGTATAAATATTATCTACTACTTTAATAATATTATGTCTGTTTTCATTCTGGGATGAAAATATGTCACTGAAAATGAGGTCCTGGAAATTTTTCTTTTTTAAAAAATACATTTCAGTTATGTCACAAGAAATCTGTTGGTATCACTCAGCTTAGCTCCCTCCCTCCCCTTCCCCTTCCATGCTGCCAACAGCAATTTTGAAAAGGATAAAATATTGATCAACTTTCCAGAAGAAAAGAAAAAAAAAGGGAAAAAAAAATCCCCCTGAAGGCAGACTGCTATGAAAAATTATGAAATCTTTTCCAGGCAGGAGCAGGTCTGTGCTGGAAGGACAGGCAGAAAGGTGAGATTCAGACCCATTAGAGCCCCAGCAGCGGGAGCTGGTGCTGGAAAGCTGCAGCTCCCCAGGGAGTTAACCATGGGAAAGGTTGCAGTTCCCACAGCAACCCGTGCAGGGAGGACACGCAGAGCACCCCCAGCAGCAGCAGCACCCCCAGCACAGCTGAACACACCTCCAGGCCGGGCCTCCCCAGCTTCAGCCCCTCTGCTTCACGAGAAACTCGAAAGGCATCGCTGCCACAGTTGGCACTGTGACCCCAGAACTGAGGCTTGGTCATTAGCTCTAATTAAAATGCAGCACCCATCAGTGCATTCCCCGCCAAATCCCAAATCCACGGGGATGCTCCCTACATCTCCGGGTGTGTGGCAGGGCAAGGGAAAAGCAGCATCAAAAGGTCTGATTCGCACGAGAAAAAAAAATGTATGAAATCTTAAAAAAAAAAATAAATAAAAAAATTAAAGCTACAGTTTCTTGGGGTACAATCACATCATAGTAAAAGTTCTGGGGTGCAGCTCAAAGAAGGGAGTTCTTGGAGGGTAAGAACATGGAAAAGCCACCACGCTACGGATTCCTGGATGAAACCATGAATAAAATATTCTCCGGGATTGTTTAATCCAATTTGGAGCATTGTGTGTAATTTTTACCCAGATGTGCCACCCGGCTCTAACTGCACCACTGCCGGGCTGGCACCGGCCTCCCACTCCATTATTTGCTAAAAAAAGGGATTCAGGAAGAGGGTGGGTCCCCTTCGGGGGGGCTGGGGACAAATAAATGCAAAAATAAAAATATGGAGTTGACATTTCAGAGTATTTCTTCCTCCACCCAAGAGTTATCCTGCTTTGCAAATTTTTCCATTTCCCCCCACTTTCAAAAAATCAAAACATGAAAAAAATAATGGGGAAAAAAGTGAAAACAGCCCCCAAACCCTGAATTCACCAGTCCCTCCTTTCTGATTTCCAGCAAGTATCAAATTACATGGAACAGAAAAAAAAAAAAAAAAAAAAAAAAAAAAAAAAAAAAAAAAAAAAAAAAAAAAAAAAAAAAAAAATTCAGGGGTTTGAGATTCAAAATTAAAAATTCATCCTGGCTCGAAATTTAATTTTATTTTGTGCAGAACCTAGATTTCAGCATTTTCTGGTAGGTGCCCAGCAGCACCAGAAACTCACTTTGGAGTTTAAAATTTAAAAATGCTTTTTTCCAAAAAAAAAAAAAAAAAAAATCCAAACTGCTGCAGCTGTGGAGCCAGCCATCTTGCTATTTTGTCCCCATTTTAGAGAGGATACTGTGTCAAGGTTGGTAAAACTCAATGTTGACCTAATCTTTCTCTTCCTCTCCCTCCCCCACTTTTGGGTGGAAAGGCCATGTAGCTCTCCTAGACTGCTTTTTCTTGAAACAATGCATGTTTCAGTGCTCTTTTGTTATTTATTTTTAAAAAGATCAATACCAAGACCCCAGTATTCAAGGGCAACCCTACAATAATAAACCAGTGTGTGCACAGTCCAGAACTCACAGGCACTCTGTAACAGCAAAATAATAGGGATAGGACTATTTAAAACAAACAAACAAACAAAACAATTAAGAAAAACCCCACCAAAAATAATAATGAAAAAAAAAATTCAATTCAAACTCCAGCAAGGCTTTAACAGTCAAGGAGAAAAAGGATTTTGAAATTGTGAAAAATATCATGGCTGAGCCCTTTAAAGGCACTTCAGTCTGAAAAAAAATGAAAATCACAAAATCTGCAATTATTTTTTCACAATATTGTTAATTATGCATATTCACAATATCATGGCGGACCTTATAATAAACCTGTGTAAATATTAGATTTATGTGAGCCATAGGACATAGAGTTATTACAGTGTGTTTAAAAAAAGAAGGGGAAAAAAAAAACCTAAAAACCATAATATGGAAATTTTCTTCTCTACAAAAGAAGTAGGAAATTAAATGCTGGAAACTGTTTTAATTATGCCGAGAGAAACCATCCAAAAAGCCAAGAAATTCTAAAATAAAACTGACATTCGACTCTTAATTTTGCTTGTCCTCGTGTTTT